AATAAGTAGTAGTATTATCTATATATATATATATATATATATATATATATATATATATATATATATACTTGTATGTACTTTGATAGAATTTAAAATAATATGTTTTAATATATTTTATTCATTGAAAATTTGTTAGAAATATTGCCCTTCATATTGCAGATAAATTGTTGCTTAGCAAATTAGAGATATATGACATTGTTTACAAATATAAATAGAAATAATGATAGCCAGATTAGATGAATCAAATAATTTGTGGCTAGTCAAGTATATGCACATTTAATGAATATTTAAATTTGATTTTTTTCAAAAACAGCTTTGTATAAAAAAATTTTATGCCATATTTTCTTCTTATTTTTATATAAGAAATTACTTCTCTCTCTGTTGTATTATGATTTATAAAACATTCTATATATCACTTACTTAAGATTTTGCAAAAATATTTTTATTTACATTATACTTTATTATCGTTTTTTATGTCACACAGAATAATATATCAAATATAATATTTAATTCTGCAATTTATAATGTACCTTTTTCTAAAGATGGGCTTGGTTTGACCACCAAATCCTTGCTGTTTGCGGTCGTAACGTCTTCTGCCCTGTGAGGCATGTCTCTCCTTACTCTTCTTGTACTGCGTCACTTTGTGATTTTTATGTACCTTGCATTTTTTGCAAAAGGTACGCCTTTGCTTCGGTACGTTAACCTATAAAGAGCAGAAGTATACATAAAAGTTGCATCAAACCTTGCGTTACAATTTTACAAAATAACGATGTAACTAATTCTTGAAATCTGCTTGTGGTTTTTAATTTATGCGATTTATCATTTACAAAATTTAATTAAATGTACGCGTTGTCACGTTGCACTTAATCAAAACACTTTGTACTCATTCTGTTAATAAGGTTATGTTTCTTAATGTCACGTTGTCAATTACCGCACAGTATTAATAAATATTCACAATAAATTACGATGAATGTAATTGGTATGCAAACGCCGGTTTCGCGATATATTTCGTGGCAATGATTCCCAAAATATTTATGGATAAAAATCTATGAAAATCACAATGTTCACCTACCATCTTGAAGGTGGTCGAAAGTATCGAGTGAAAAGAGAAACGCAGCTTGCGACCGGAAGTCGAAACGCCGATGGAAATCATGCGATACGCATGCGCAAATGTCCTATTTTTTTTTATCCATTGCGTTGCAACAAATTCAGAAACCTTGAATATACTTTTTGCGCTCGACATGCATAAATATTACGATGATTAATATTATGATACTTTACAAATCTCGATCGCGCGTGAAATCGCCGTGGGAGGAAACGCCAGTGATTTCGACGGTCGGTAAAGTCGCTATGAAACCGCTATCGGATTTTACGCCATTAACACAATTGGCATCAAAATTGGTATATAAAACATCCAATCAATAAGTACAATTTTATATTAAGCTATCCTTCATTATTTGCGTTACGTCGGATATAAATAAATGAACGACTAAATGCGCGGCGTATTCAGTCTTACTTTGCTCGTCTATTTGATCATCTTACGATGAAAGATCAACGTGTACACACAATTGGTCGATACGCAGTGACTACGCGTGTTCATGCACTAAACACAAATATATGTATATACGCACATATTATATATATATATATATATATATATATGTA